AAAAATTAATTATATTAAAAAATAATTAATACTTGCTATATGGAAATATAAAAATATGCATGTTATTTAACAATGATACAAGAAAACAGCAAACAAAAATACCTTTGAAATTTCCAAAATCCAAAAATGGATTGAAAAATCACTTTGAAATCATGTAATGTTTTATGCTTAACATAATTTAATTTATATGCAAATAAAATGCTTTCCGAAATCATAATTCACTCGAACCTACTCAAGAATAATATTCAAACCATTTGTATCACTTTAAGCGTGTTTTACTGGAAATCACATAAAAAAAAGTCTTAAATAAAATAATCAAAATATCTCTAGTTCATTTCTATGGGTCGTTCTGAATACCCACGCAAAAGCTAAAAGCCTTCAAAAATTTAATTTCTCCAAAATAAAGCAATTTTATGCTTTTTTACATAACTATATACTCAGCTCTCTAAATAAGTATGATTTGTTTGTCGTGTTGCTTCCCTCACTCAAAACGACAAAGTGCGGCCAATGAAAAAGGCTTGTCAACATTATTCCTTTTATTGATTTAACAATAAAGTCCTCTGGCTTAAGTTTTATGTTGTTATTGCCGCCTATTGAAAATACAATGAAACATGGAAGGGGAAAAAATCCCGACAGGAATTTCACATAAGACCATCAGTGCCCTCTGGATAAAGTGCGCCTGTTATATTCTTCAAATTTTCAAGGGCGTTGCTTAGAAAGCAGCCGTGCCAATGAAATCACGAACTTATCCTCAATCAAAGCAGCTTCAGATGCTAGAATGTTTCATTTACCGCCCCATGCCATCTGCATTCATATGAGCGCATGCCGTCTCTGCTTCCTTTTAAAAACCACGGGCCGTACCAAAGTATTTAAGAGCTCACAACGTCTATATGAAGCACTTAAGCACAAGGTCTTTGAACGACTCAAGCACTCTGGGTACAGCGGCGGTACGTTCTCGACGCATGTCAAAACAAACACATAATTGACGAGAATTATCGACTTCATAAAACTTTAGAAGAAGTTTGTCGTTTCGTTGCTGCTGGAGTGGTTGGTTTTTCTAACAAGGTTGAATTTACAATGCAGTTGGATAAAACGCACAGTTTTATTGTCATTGTTCGCAGCCGCTTTCACAGATAAATAGGAGCCGTGGGCAAAACAAAGGGTGGAATTTAGTGAGAAAACAGCTCGATCTGGTTGGTCTTTAACACATGGGAGTTATATTTTCACCTGTCACATTTGAAAAGGAAGAGGCTGGCAAAATATCCAAGCGGTGAAACGATCACACAGAGGCCTGCAGTGATTTCCTGTGGATTCTGCAGCTCCCAAAAAAATCTCTGACTCACTTTCTGTTTGGACTGATTCCGAGCCAAAATCTTTAGTGACATTCATAATCATTTGCAAATTAGTGCTGACTTAACTTTCACTAAAAATCTGAGGGTATATTTACATATACCTAATAAAACAAAGTGTTAAATAATGTCTGGTTGTTCATTCAGTTTAGATTTATTTGATATATTTTGAGGAAAAAGTGTGTGTGGGGGGGACAAACAAATATGTGTGTGTGTGTGTGTGTGTGAGTACTTTTTTTTTTTAAAGACATTAATATTTTTATTCAGCAAGGACACATTAAATGAATCAAATTTGACATTTATTATGTTACAAAATATTTCTATTTCAAATAAATGCTGTTTATTTTAAACTTTCTGTTTGTTAAAAAATCCTGAAAAATTAAATATATCACGGTTTCCACAAAAATATTTTTCAGCACAAGTGTTTTCAACATTTATAATAGGGCTGTGCGATATTGAAGAAAAATGCGATATGCGATAACTCATTAAATAATGCGATATTCGATATGCGATATGATAATTCTTAAAGTGCCACATGCTCAGATGAAACAGTTTTACTCAGCTGTTGCTGAGTCAGTTCTGTGAACTTCTATAACTATCTTGTGTCATATATATATGGTTATTTATATGTATGTATGTATGTACCAAGAGTTCCTGTAAAACCACAACAAATTCCTTGTGTTTGCGCACACTTAAGTGTTGAATAAAGCTCATCCTGATTCTAATAAGAAAGCACCCCTACAACAACTTCTGAAAGTGAACGGTATGTGTTTTACTCGAGCATTACATAAAAATGTCATTTTAACATTAGTGTAATCATTTTAACATGAGTTTAGGAACTGAATAATAAAAAGGAAAAATAAAACACTGCTTAGTATTTAATCTTTGAATTCAATATGCACTGATTCTTATTTAAGCTACAAAAGTTATTTAGGTAAGAGCAGTGAGTGATTTTCTCTTTGCCTTTTGTTCATGGCCCCAAATATTGCAAGCTGTAGCGATATGCATATCGCGATATGTACATTTGCGATAATTCGATAATTTCAATATATATTGCACAGCCCTAATTTATAATAATAATAAAGGATTCTTGAGCAGCAAAGCAGCATATTAGAATGATCTCTGAAGGATCACGTGACACTGAAGACTGGAGTAATGATGCTGAAAATTCAGCTTTGATCACAGGAATAAATTACATTTTAAAATATATTAAAATAGAAAACAAATTGAAATTATATTTCACAATATCAAAATTTCTGAAAATTATTTTTGTCGATTTCAGAATTGTTAATCATGCACAGAACAAGATTAAAAATATACCGCTTTGTGTTTTGAAAGCTACTGTACACATTTTCCACAAGACAGCAGAAATAATTTTTAGATATTTGCTTTGATAGTATAAGAGACGTTTTTCAAAAACATAAAAGTTATTTTAATTTAACTTTTTAGTTATTATCATATATTATCATTAAGATTAATTTAATAATTCAGCAAAAAAAAGGCAAATAAATCATTTTTTCCCCACCAAAAATAATTATAGTACAAAATACATATATGTGTTTTTAACTTTTTCAAAATTCTAAAACAAGCCTTACTTGATTCATGTAAAATCAAACTTATACTATCAATCTGTCAAGCTATTTGATGATATAGCAGTTTCCAGGGCTGAAGGACACAAATAATTATAGTTTAATCACTAGAAACTGACTTGAATACTACATAACAAGCACAGACCCATGAATACTGTAGGAAAGCAGACAGGAATCCATATGTAAATATTATTTATGGTATGAACTAAAGCATAATTACAATAAAAATACATCTAAGGAAAACAACATCCACATCTGCCACAAACTTTAATGACCTTCGAACACACACGTTTAGCTGACACGTACTCAGAGGAGACACTTTACACACATGCCTTTAATGTGCAACTTCTCCTATGGCTTGAGATGTGGACAAACAAACAACAGCAAACGAAAATGAGTAAACCAACTAAACTGCGACTTTGTTTCAGAGAGGCCTACATCAACTATGACTGTGTTGAGACATTTTTTAATTAGTGAGGAAAATGCACTATTTATAGTGCGGTTTAATGATGCGAGTCAGGCTAAATCTCTATTGATTTTCTTGTGATATATACAGCTCTATTACAGAAACAACTGATTAAGGAGCTGCACAGATCGCAAACACACAGGCTTGTAACCAATACACACTTGACACACTTTTCTTTCTTTGATCGAAATAACACACTGTGATATTCTCTATGATGCTTTTAAACAAAGCATATCTACAAATGAGATCCTTTGGCAGTACTGCAAAATATTTGTCGATTTAAAAATATTTATAAACTAAAATATATTGCTTTGTGTTAGGCAAATGAACACATCTGTATTCTCTATTTTGATTTTGCACCTGCTTAAATGTGGTTCATGTTTTTTTTTAACAAATATTCCAAATGATTTTAAATTATAATAGAACTGCATTAATTCTAAATATAATTCTGAAAATTATTTTGGATGATCTCAGAAGTGTTAGTCATACACAAAATGACAAAAAAAAAATATTTGTAAATATAAAATATACTGCTTTGTTTTTCAGATACTACAAAACAATATTGAAAACAGAAAGACAAAAAATACAGACTTAATATATTTTAATTTTGCGTCTGCTTCATATTGAAATGTATAATAAATATATATTTTAATCATTATCATTTAAAATAAACATTTTAAAATGAATAAAATAAATGATCAAATTAACCTAAATTTCTGAAAAGTATTTTTTTTGGCGATATTTATAAACAAAAATATACACAGGTCAGACCTGTAGATGATGTAAGATTTGAACAATTTATTGCAATATTCTGTATATTTTGATTTTGTGCCTGCTTAAATATGGGATTCATAATATACTGTATTTTAGTAATGATTTCAAATAATAATCAAATAACATTTTAAAAAGTAAAAGTTTTTTTTTTGTCGATTTCAGAATTGTTAATCATGCACAGAACAAGATTACAAATATTTATAAATAAAAACATACCGCTTTGTGTTTTAAAAGCCACTCTACACATTTTCCACAAAACGGCAGAAAATTAAAAACCGGACAGACCTCTAGATGATGTGATATTTAAATAATTTGAAACAATATTCTGAATGTTTTTATCTAGTGCCTGCTGAAATGTGGTATTTATATTAAATTAATAATAAATCACATACGCGTGTTTTTCTTATTTAAAAATTAATTCAATGGCTAAAGTAAATTACTAACTAAATCAAATTTTCCCAGAATGTTCAAAGCAGCTTGGCTCCATTAAAGCCGAACTCAACAACCATTAATAATGATTTAACGGGAAAAGGAAGTAACAGAGGAGGTGGTCTTTCGCCAAAAATAATTTCACCCAGATTCTGACAGTTACTAAAAGAGAAACGCTGGAAAAGGAGATTTTCAGCGTTTACCAGAAGTCTGGATAAAAGTTCACTCCACACACAGATGCTCTCAGTCTGTTAAACAGCAATGATCTCTTCACTCCCCACGGCTTACCGAGCGTCGAGAAACACTCTTACCTGCAGCGAGTTCAGGAGGCTGAAGATGTACGCGATAACCACGGAGAACGGCACCAGGACGCCACAGAGCCACGTCAGGCCCAGGATCGGCAACAGGACCAGCACGGCTTTCACTGCCGCCCTAAAAGCAGACGAATGATATGAAAAACACTTTATTTTATTATATTGGTGCATATATACGATCGTACACACACACACACACACACACACAGACGGATTTCAGGGGTCACAACAGGAGCTGCTGCTTATTCTCACATTGTGACAATTTCCATGCTAAATCGCTTTTAATTCTGTTTAGTATAAAATTACCTCCCTATTCAGGTAACCGCTAAAGCGAACCAGCTGCGGTCCGAACTGGCCCTGCCAAGCGGAGGAAGCGTGTGTTTGATTTTCCTTGGAGTCACACACAGGGGCCTTCTGAGGGCCCCCCACCTCAGCGACTGATGCTGGAGGTCCAGACGTGTCGAAATGTTGGGTACGTGTGGCAGCTTAATTTGCATTGTGGTTATTTACTGAATCTATAAACCAACATGAGAATCGGTATAAAGGCCTGTTTTTAAAAAACATAACGCCGGGGTCCTGCAGTGACCGAGCTGTCTGAAAGTTTACTCTTGAGGGGGGGAAAAAACGTCGAATCGTTCCATTAATGGGCCAAAAAACAAACAAAACATTTGATGTTGAAAGAGGCTGTAATGTGCAAATAGATGATTTTAATAGAAAGCCAAACTGACTAGGATCAGTCAGACGGGAGCACAGCTGTGAAAGGGCGCCTCCATGTGGCCACATGAGAAAGCGTACCTTATCTGCTCGGAGACCTGCTCTTCTGGGCTGGTGTTCAGAGTCATCATCAAAGATCTCCTCTTGGCTGTGGCCATGGTGATCACGACCACCCGGGTCAGAATCATGATATTCACCTTAAATAATAAAAAAATGTTTTAATAATAATTAACATAAATATTAGAATCTATAAAAAGCATTATTATTATAAATATTAAACATGCACATATATATGTACAGTAAGTGCACATATATAAAAAACAAAGTGTTAACACGACTGTGTGTTGTCATTTTTTGTAATATGTAAATATACATAAAAAATATAAACTTTATACACGTTATATATATATTATTGTAATAATTACTGCATTGTTATTATACAGCCTATATATTAACATAATAATAAAAATTATTTAAAAATTTAATTTATATATATATATATATATATATATATATATAGTTATTTTATTATGTTATTATTTTGTTATTAAATATATATAATAAAAACATTTGTGCCATGTGTTATTTATTGATTTATTGTTATTATTATTATAAATATTAAATATACACGTATATGTAGGTGCTTGGTCAATATTAAACAAGGATTAGATCGCACAGCAGTGTGTAAAAATAAACATCAGGCCGTTGGTGCCCCCTGCAGGCCTTTGTTGTAATGCCGTAATGTACATTAGCTCTATTGTTTATAATACATTATGTATTTTAACAATTTTGTTCAATAAAACCATATGATTTCTTGCTTTTGATACTTTATTTGAACTAATTACTATTGTTCAAATAAATTGCTCATTGCTATTATATATGTATTTTAAGTGATTTTAAAAGCTATTGTTCACTTACATCTATTTTTATTACCACAAAAAAATATATATAATTATAGGGCCCTATGAAATATGTTTTATTTCCAAATTCCGTTTTTTCCCATTTTCATTTTTCTATACTCTGTTTTAATGGTTAAATTAAATTGTATTAATCAAAAAGCCTGCCTAATTAATTGAGTTTTACGGTTTCATCTTTACCAAATTCTGTTTTCCATTATTTTCTGGATTCCATTTTAATGGTTCCATTAAATTTGAATAATCTAAAGCATCTCCAATTAATTGATTTTATGTAGAAAAAAAAAAGTTTTTTTTTTTCCTTTTTTAGAAATACTGCACATTTACATTTTTCTCCTAAATAAATTCTGGTAAATAACATTTCTAGTAAATACTAAAAATAATAAAAAAAATAAAAAGTGTTTTTTGATTATAATTTTATTATTAGTAGACTAGATCACGTGGACATGTTGTCATTCTTACACTATAATACTGAACTTTGATTTCAGTGATTTGAACTATGAGATGTACACTTGCTTCTTGCACTTTATGTTGCACTTTAATTTTGCTTTAAAAAAAGGATTTCATAGAAATTTGGATTTCATTTGGTTTAATAAAATATAGTTTAATACGCTATTCAGAAATGGGTCAGTTATATAAGTTTTATATATCTATTAAAATAGGCTTATTTTGTGATAGACGCACAGCTTTGCAAACAAAGATACAGATTTTATTGACCTCTAACGGATATGGACCCTATAGGACATGTACATGTATGCAATGCATTTGAACAGTTATGTAACTCTGTGACTGACACCTGATATTAGAAAACAACATGTGGAAATAATCCAGGCGTACAGACATAAAACATTATGGGAATTAAGTTCAAAGCATTTTTGTTAGTGATATATAAATTTGCCCACACTTGATGACAGTTTGGATGGTACCACGATTATTGAAGGATCAGATTGGATTTGATCACTTACCATGTTCATATAGATATTATATATCAAGGTGGGACCCTTTGTGCAAGACATTTCTTCAGTTAAACTATTTCTGAACTCGTAGATATTTATTCTTGAAATATGACTATGGTAGTATACGGTTGTGGCGAGGGGGGCGTGGTTCAGCGAAGTCTGCAGCGGGAGAGAGGGACGGGAGACGAGCGGTGAGTAAGTAGGTCAAGTGCGTCAAGTGCAACACCTGTGTCTGATTGCAGTAATTAGCCTGGAGAGACCGGATAAAAGGGCAGACTGGAGAGACTGGAGAGAGAGAGAGACTGGGACTCGTGGCCAGCCCTTAGCCGGAGGAGGAGAACCGACTGAACTGAGTTTATGCCCTGGGCAGATTGAGAATGCGCTGGAAGCGCCCCGTTTGTGTTTTGTTGAACTTTAAGTAAAGAAATAAAAGAGCCACGAGTCTCCAAACCGCCTACCTGAGTCACTTCCTTCTTCCCACTACGAACTTTGTTACAGTGGTGCCGAAACCCAGGAAGGAAGTGATAACGCCGCCGCCATCATGTCATCTCCGTCAAGTTCGCCGTTTGCGGAGGTCATCCACTCGCTCGCGGGACTCCATCAAGAGCACCATCAAGCGCTGTTGGACATGAGGGAGGATCAGGAACGGCGGTTCCGGGTCCTCATCCAGACGCAGCAAGAGGACCGCGAGCTGTTCCGGAGCTGGATGGACCGGGAGGTTCGGGCTGGGGGAAGTCCATCTGCCCAGGCCCTGCCAGCCCACATGCCGTTGAACAAGTTGTGCCCGCAGGATGATCCGGAGGCCTTCGTCGACCTCTTTGAGAGGACCGTGGAGGCATGTGGGTGGCCCCGGACGAACTGGCCAGTGCGCCTCATCCCGCTGCTGTCTGGCGGAGGACCAGATGGTGGCGTGCCGGGG